CAGTAGTGACGAGAGGTTATAAAACAAATACAAAAATAACTTCGCAATTAAGACGAGAGGTTATGAAAAGAATAAAACTAAACTTGAGTTGAACTTCTTGAATTAATTGAAAACTAAAAAGACTTATTTTTCTAAGCTAAAATACAAGCTGTATTTATAAGTATTTGATAATTATAAAATGATCATTTGGAATGATCATTCGGAGCGTTTGAAATGATCGTTTGCAATGATCATTTGCAATGATCATTTGGAATGATCATTTGCAATGATCATTCGGAGCGCTTGAGATGATCGGTTGGAATGATCATTTGGAATGATCATTCGAAGTGATCATGTGAAGCGATCATGTGAGATGATCATGTGAAGCGATCATGAAATGATCGTTTGTGATTATGAAAATATCTAATCACAACAATATCACAATTTTATTAAAATATAATTAATAAACTAATAACTAAATATTTATATTATAATAATATATATTATTTGTATTATATGATTTTGTTAAAGCAACAAATTATTATAAATTGATAAATATTTATTTTGCACATATTTATTTACTTAGTACATGAAATCAAGTTTTTTATTAGTTGAGTTATAGATAGTGTTTCTGATGAGCTGGCTACAAGCTGATACTAAGTTAAAAGTACTTTTGACTCACGCAGAGCTTTAGTTATAAATTATGGAATTTTACGATGATCTATTATAAGAGTGTTCGAGGCCCTGTTTCTACATTCACCCCCCCCAAATAATCAAGAATACTCTGAAATCCTTTTCCATAATTATTCAAAAAAGATCACCAGATTTCATTTTAATCTTGATCGACAAAAAATCTTTATTAGCGATGGGGTTGTACTACACCCTAGGGGGCGTTTCTATAACAGCGGGTCTTTTCAAGTGTCTTTGTATGAATATTGAAAATGGGGGTAAGAACAAGAAAAAGGTGTAGAGTAAGCTTTATGGGAAAATTTGGATTTAATCTAAATACATATTTTTATGGATCCCTGATTTCACCCCATTTATATCCCACTTTCTGGGGGGTATATACAAGTGTAGATAGACACCAATAACTTGAATTACTACTACTATTATTACTATGATTAATCATTTCCGCTATTATTACTAGTCTTCTTTGTTGTTGTACGTTTCGAAGCAAGTTTTAATGCACTATACATACGTGAAATTTCTTGAGTAGACATCCAATCTGGTGGCCAACAAGCCACAAGTTTTTGATATAATAATTTGCGTGTTGTGTGTTCAGACAAGCGGTCTGTTTTATCTTCTGCCTCCATCAAGTCGTTCCTCATTAAAGTAATGTCCATTTCCAATTGTATAATTTTCCATACCAGATTTTTAGTCGCCGGCGTCCACTTAAACTTTCTCAATAATTCATTCCTGTTGTTATTATTATTATTAGTATTATTATTAGTATTATTATTAGTATTATTAATAGTAGTATTATTATTGTTGCTGCTGTTGTTATTATTATTGTTATTATTATTACTATTGTTGTTGTTGTTGGCCAATGATTCTGGAGCATCAACCGACGATATTTCAATATCTCCGTCTGTATGTGCGCCTGACGATGCTGCGGCGTGTTCGTCGGCAGCTTTTATCATCAATTCATATTGAGCTAATATTCCTGGCATGATCTTATTTAATTCGACCCTAAGATCATTAAATAACCTTTCTCTTTGTTGCTCAAGTTCAGTGATCTTGTTAGGATAAAGTGTTCTTTTGCACAGTCGAGTCACTGTAAATTTGTTATAAGGTAACGCATTAGTAAGTATTTTAAAGAAATTCTCGTTGAATTCATTCAGTTCATATGCCCTTGTAATTGTAGTCAATAGATGCGGCTTGAGATTAGGAGGAAATCTGTTCTTGACGGCAAAAGACTCTGTAAAGATTATAAAAATTATATAACTATTAACACATTATTAAAATATCAAAGTAATGAGAATAATAATAGATGTAAACCTTTTGCGATTTCGACTTTAAACAAATCAACTGCCAATTGTACTTCATGATTGATCGGATCTACGTGATAGGTTTTTTGCGATTTACCAGGTGTTTTGTTAGCTTCTGGAACATATCTCATAACTGTAGGTGGTGTTATTGCAGCCTTATCAGTTATTGTAATAACAGGTTCTTCTTTCATAGGAGGAACAGGATTGACAATAAAGGCAATAGTACCATTTCTATTTGGAGGAGGGGGTGGAGTGCGGAAAGGATTTGTAGAAACAGATGATTCTGGTGCACTTTTCATACTTTTTGAAGTCGATGTTTGATCGTTATCGTCAATCGTTGCCCGCTTTTTAGCAGCTGGAGTTTCATTATTATTGTTATTGACATCTGAGATTTCAGCCCTCTTTTTTAGTTTTGGTCCTGGTTTTAAGGCTGGTTTTAATGTAGCAGTGGTATTCGTAGTGACATTTTCGTCTTCTGCACTTGTGTTGTTATTAACCTTCCTTTTCCGAGGTTTCTTATCAACCGCAGCTGATCTTTTCTTTAAGGTTGATTTTTTATTGTCATGAGAGTCTTCACCATCTGAAGCATCGGTAACCAACGGCCCTTTCCAAACAAAAAATCCCTCCACGGAAGGACGAACTTCCCCAGTAAAGAGCTGCGCCGGAGCCAGTTCACTGTCATCAATGAATGGATCAGAAGTATCATAATTTTCCTCTCGTGAAGTTTTTTTTCTACTACGAGTTGATTTGGCCTCCTTATCCGCTCTAGCATTTGCTTCAGCATTCTGCAGAATTTGTTGAAAAAACTGTTCGCTTTCAAGGGAGGAATCTGGAGGTGGAAGCGGCGGGGTTGAACTCGGTGACGGAGAATTTCTGTCGGGTGTTTGATAGCCGTCGGATACGCCTTCTGACGAGTCGGAATCTGAGTCAGTTCCAGCGTGTCGTGGTGGAGTGGGAGGCCACACACCAGCCTCTTTTAGCAGGTCTGGAAAGTATACAATGTTGTTTTCTGGATACTCTAACGGAATGTCAATTGTAATCATTGGTGGCGGCGGGTCTGCCGTTATTCCCAGCCGTTCATTTAACGTGCCGAGTCTAGTTTGACCGCTTTCTGCAGTCATTCCTCCTCCTGACCTTTCGCTTAATGTTCCAAGTTCTGCACGACGCTTGTGTTTCTCTTTCTTCTCTTTCGTCTCTTTTGGCATATTTTTTTAGTACAAAAAAGAATAAACTGAAAGGTTTGAATTTTATTCGCAGAAACGCGCCTTGAATTTTATTTTGAATGTTTAATATTCCGGGAGATGACATATAATTAAGTAGAGTATAAGTTCAACTTTCATAACGATAATACTGTTTGTATAAAAATTATTTCAAAGATAAGAATACAGCATCACTTGTTTGTTGACTATCTATCCATTTAAACGCCTCACGTATCGAAGTTTTCCTATAATTATAATAAGAAAAAGCTTGCAACAAACAATCCGCTAAATCGTCCTTCTTTTTTGCATCTTTGTAATAATCTAATTGTTCTTTAGTGTATAGATTTTTATGATCTGCTAACCAACTTTTCACAATACTTTTCGAGAGTTTCTTTCTATTTGCGTTTCCGGTTTTTTTGATTTTTGAGACAGACGCCATTTTCCCTAGATTATCCATCCACGTTGTGTAGTGGTCGTCGTCAAAATCTGTTAATTCTTCTTTCTTGCTGGATTTGTTTAAAATTTTTGATTTTTTCTTTTTTGAATTTGATTTTTTCTCGTCTTCACCTTCACTATCTTCTGCAGATTCCTTAATGCTTCCGAGTTTAGAATCAAGAAATCTCGCCGTCTTTAAAGGTATCAAAGTCTCGACAGTCACACCTTTTTTAATCCTATCAAGCAAAACAGCGCAAAGAGCGGTTTCAATAGCTATAACTTTTAAAATCTCGAACGAAGCGATTGCTCTAAACGGTTGATGCTCTACCACGAAACCACCGAGATTTTCAATATCCTGCTTCGGTAACAGGATATCATGAATAAACGATAAGACAGAGGGCCCAAAATATCCAATTTCGAAAACATCAAAATTAAACTGATGAAGTTTCCAATCAAGTATACGTAAATCTTTTGTGACATGCACGTATGCAAGATTTTTAACCCCAACGTCAATTGACACGATACTCTGAGGAATCGAGTAGAAACTAGATGAAGTGTCTTTTGCTACACTAGGTGATGATAATAATGGTGGAGGCAATAATTGTTTCCTCGTTGATCTTTCCTCGTCGTAGACTTTATAAAAATGTTTTGCAAGTTGTTCGGCGAGGACAACTTTGTTTCCGGCCATTTTCAAACCGCAATTTTGAGCTAAATGTCCTAACTCGACAAGTTTTAGCTGAGTTGATAGACTTTCGCCAAGAATTAGGATAAAAAATTAAAGTGTAAAGCATTTATATGGTCAACATATTTTCGAATATTAAGATAAAGATGAATTACCGGAGAATAAGAGACTCCATTATCATATAGTCGATGTTAACCTTAATTAACTATTAAGATTACCGTGTTGCGAACCAAGTAACGCGTCTCAATAATATCGATTGTAATAATCTGATCATGCAATAATCCAGATATGTCCACATTTACATCAAACACCCCAAAATAATTCCTCATTACATCAGACTAGTTTATCGTTGCCTCTACTGATCAATTGATCACCAATTTAGAAAAAAAGCCCCACACCCTCTTCTTATATCTTCTTGTCATAGTCAACAGATAGTGTTTAAAAAAATAAAAATTTGAGGTAAGAAAAAAATAAAATAATAAGACGTGACCTTTTTGTGTTCAAACCGAATTTTTTTCGCAAGAGAGAATTGCTCTGCTACCTTTTTATAATTATAGTAACATATAACAATAATATTTATTATTTGGTAAACAACTCATCGCCTTAACAAAACAACACACCCATTTCTGATCTAAAATTGGTTTGTTTGTAAAAAATAAAGTGTGTTCGTAGTTTTGCCAGAGACGAGTTTAATAATTAATAAATTACAAAACCAAAAAATTCAAACAGTCATCCATCGTTTTTGTCTTGGTCGTCTCGTCGTCGTCTTCCAATATACACACACAGATACACATCACATGAGTATGGGGTCATACGAAATTGATACAGCGCGAACAACCCCGGGTGGAGTAGGATACAAAAACACCAACAATAATAGCACCAATACAAACAATTTAGGAATAGCAGAGACAGAAGAAGTCAAAACACTGAGAGCAAGTCACCAAGACTCGTTGGCTACACTGCGTGAATTATTTGAGAATTGGACTGATGAAGATTTGTTGTTCGCCTTGAAAGACAGCGATGGAGACCTTGAACTTACCGTTTCGAGAATTTCCGATGGTTTGTATTATTATTTGTTGTTTGTATAGTTTTTTGATTGTTTGATGTAATTTTTTGAGACAGATATTTTTTAAGGATAACAAATTGCATGGTGCATTTTGGAATGAAGAGTAATTAAATGTTTATGTTTTGGGAAACCCGCGAATTTTGTCGAGAAATTTAAGCTCTTTTATCAAGTTTTGATTTCTCTCTCCCCTTAACCATGGTCTATGCAAACAATATCAAAAATGTTCATCAAATTCTTTCATCTGGCAAAAACGCTCTTGATTCTCAAAAGAATAACGAATCAATTTACATCCCAAAGAAAAAATCTAATAATTTATATTATCGATATAAATAGGACATGCAAACCAGTGGGGTGAAGTAAAGTCCCGAAAACACAAGAAAGAATCTAATACGAAAGTGAAGGCGTCTTCAGGTGTCAGCAGTCAACGTGGGCAATCATCAAGGGGTGGTGGCGGTGGTGGACATAATGATCGTTTTAATAATGAGCGGGGACGGAGTCGTGGTCTGCATTTTTCTTATTCTACGATCAGCTTTTTTTATACATGTTCATGAGAAATACGAAATAATTCGATTTGTTACTATTATTTCTTTCTGCCATTTCCAGAGGGAGGTAATTATCGCGGCGGAAAATTCTCATCGAGTGATCGTGAACGTCGTCAAGCATCTCAAGCATCTCAACGACGTGAAAATGGAGCAGGTGAGTTGATCACGATTGTAATTATTATCAATATCTTTGAAAAATATTTGCGAATATAATAAAATATATTTCGCAAATAAATATTGGATGTAGTACACTTATTAATGTTTTATAACTGTTATTTTTATTATAAGGCAATCACATTAGGCCTCCACGTCAACAAAATGGTCCAAGTCATCATCACGGTTATCCTAACGAAGCTAACGGAAGCTGGAACAAACGGAATGGTGAGACTATTAACAATTCGTCTGGTTGGGCTAATGACACCACTACTAGTACTACTGTTGGAACCCGAGGTGATAGTGCCAATGAAACAAAATGGCAAACTGACACTGGATCGTCTCTTAATTTGGGTCCTTCTGGCGATACCTCTACTCATCATGACGACAATAATAATACCGCCGTTACCGACGCGAAAAGTGCTTGGGGCAATGAAAATGCATCAAGTAGCTTTAAGAGTCCCTTGGACACCAAAGAAAGTCCTACAACTGGTGGTGGCGGTTGGAATAGTCCTAAACCTAGCTTGAATAACAATGAAAACATCACCACAACTACTAATAATAGCTCAAATGGTGCCTGGAGCGCCACGGATAATAAAGATTCGAATGTTTTTGATGATAATAGTAATAATATTAATGATACACATGATAATTTTGGAACAAGTACGACAACAACGACGAATGCTAAAAATGACAATAGTAGTAGTGTCAATACCACCGAAAATTGGGACACTGATACAAAGGATGCATATAGTTGGAGCTCTACGCCTGCCGCCAAGGATTCATGGAGTGCAGAGCCGTCAAAAGATAGTTGGACTGCGAATAACAGTTGGGGTGAAAGTAAATTAGAGGATGATATTACTTCACACTCGCCGCGACCGACAAACGCAAGCAAACCGGTTACTGCTGCAAAATCACCCATTTCTCGGACAATACCAGCACAGTCCAAAACTTCTTGGGCGCAAATCGTGAAGTGTGTTTTGATTATCTATTTTAATTATTAAATATGAGTCTGGGAGATTATTTTATTGTCAAATTTATTGAAAATGTTTATGATTGTAACAATAATAATAATTATCGCTCCATTATTTATCATCGTGGGGGATAATAATATTGGTAGGCCAGAATCTAAACCAGAGCCGAGACCTGAACCTATCTCATCACCATCTCCAAAAGTATCGTCCGAAATACCAAAATCAGTTTCACCTAGGTTACCGAAAACTAACACTCTTACTTCTAACATTACCAATACTAATATTACAACCACTACCGCTGCGTCCTTACAATCATCTCCAACACCCAAATCCTTTGAACCTTATAATGAACCCGCGTCGATTCCATCCATCTCATCACCCGAAATAACAACTCCATCACCGGTAACCGATACTTCAAAGACCACCGAAGAAAACTTGAAGGAGTACGTAAAAGAGGCTTCTCAGTTAGAACATTCTATTCCGTCCGTCGCTTCATCCCCGTTAGTAAATGCATCACCGCGCACAAAAGAAATTTTGCCACCTGGTTTAAATAATAAATCTAAAGGACAGACAGCTGCTCGTCGAATGAAACAAGATACCCCTGTCGTAATGCCAGCAGGCGCTGGAGTAGAAAGAGTTGGTGTGCAATTCGGTAGTTTGAGTTTAACATCTCCAACCCCTGAACATGCAGAATTGGAAAGTACTTCACCTGTTCCTACATCACAAACTATCGAGGATATTTCATCATCAATCATCGCCACAGAGACTCAAATTCAACAACAACAGGTATCTCAAAATGCGACGTCATCATTACTGCAAACACCACAATTGCAACAACAAATTACAACTAATGATACATCGTCGTCCTCGTCTCAATTACATCAACAGCAGCAGCAAACTGTCACACAACATCAACAAGCGATGCAAGTAGCAGCTGCAGTGGCTCAAGCTCAACAGATATCAACTTCTACTGCAACATCAACTGCAACGACAACCAATTCACAAGCTACTGCCAATAGTGCTAGTAATACAAGTAATAGTAATAATAATGTTAACCGTATTCCAAATGTTACATCAACATCATCATCGAATAATCAAAATGCCATTCAATCATCTGTTAACAGCAGCAGCAACACTCCATCCACTACTAATACTAATACTACTAGCATTAATAACAATAACAATAGTAGCAGCACAACTCATGGGACAGCACCAAATCCAACTCCCACTAATATTAATACATTTAATCCGACATATTTCAAACAACAAGAGCAAACATCTGCTGCATATATGGGACAACAACCTCATCTGGGATTAGGTGAGCCATATTCGTACTTACCAACCCAACCTCCAAGTCAGATCTCTGGATTTGGAATTGGACCGATGCAGTCATTACCTGATCAATATGGTAATCTATATGCTCCCGAGGCACAAAGAATGATGGTCTGTATAATAATATATGATATAATAATATTATTATTATTACTTTTTATTAATAAATAATTTAAAATAATAGGCTTATTATGCAACTGATCCGGCTGCTTATGGACAAGCGTCTCCTGTGACATCGAATGCGTATCAAACTCGTGATACCAATAAATATGCTCCAGAAACGAATTCTACTACTACCAGTCAAACTACAAATCAAACGACCGCTAACCAACAATCTGCCAATCAACAGGGGCAGAATCCACAACAGCAGCAGCAGCAACAACAAGCATACCCAGCAGCAGCACTCGGCATGCCTTATTATCCATATTATTACATGAATCAATTCTCTCCTGCATATCAACAATCAAGCTACCAGCCATTTGTAAATAAATCAATTTATCCAATGTATAATACGCACCATCATCATACCACTAAACCTGGTTCAGCTTCAGCTGCATCTCCATATGGCTATCCAGCTGCAACGCCGACAACCCCCAATGCTCCCCCGCACCATTATTCACATTCATCTAACTCCGGCTATGATGAAGTTACGGTGGCGACAGCTGCAGCTGCAGCTAATATACATCATTTGCCCGGAAGTGGAGTTCCCGGTGTTCATGATTATCAAAAAGCATATGGAGCTGGAACGGGTGGTGGTATTCCACAACTTCAAACCTTTCTAAATAGCGGGGCGAATAATAATCAAGGCAGTGGCGGAGTATCGGCGGTATCTAATTCTTCAAGCGGTGGTAAAAATGGAAGTAACGGTAATGAATTGAATCCCTCTAATCAATACAAAGGATATGATAAATCATCGTCTGCTGGTGGCGTAGGTGGTGGACAATCTACGTCACAACATCAACAGCCTAATAACCCAACGACGTACTACACGCAACAACAACAGCAACAACAACAACAACACGCGGCCGCAGCTCAACAGCAAATGTTTAATGGTTATCAGTATCAACAACAATATCACCCTCAGCATCAAACACACCATCAAGCCACCAATCGTAGTCAATATTGGGGTCAACAAAGCAGCTGAATAATGAATTTATCAAAGAGATATTAAAGAGTAGCAGTCTTTATAGTAGTTTTGATTTTTTTATTATTTATCCCTTTCTAGTTTATGCCTGTCTATTGTTTTTATTATTTTTGTGTGCGCGGTGATCATCATTAAAAAAAGACATTTTTTCGAGAGATTGACAATAGTAAGAATAGTTATAATAATAGAGAGGGTTTGTATCGAGGATTTTTGTTAACATCATGGACATTCTATTCATTCATATTATTACTTGATTTATTCTATTATTGTTATTATTTTACTTTTAGTAGTAGGCGAGTATAAATAACTAGTTGATTGGATGGGGGGAAGTAAAGTAGTCAATAGTAAGTTGTAGTATTATGTAGCAGTCAATTTTTCTTGTCAAATATTTTTTTCTATTTTTGTGTAAAGTTTTTTGTTAACTATATTATTATGTGGAAAGAGAACTTCATATCTATCATCACTCATCATCATATATACACATTCCACATTATCTTATTTACATTCATCCTCACTCACCATTAAAATCAATCAATAATTATTAATTAATTTATTTTTTAATTCTGAAGAGGATTTTGTTTATATAGCGAGCATTTATATCGTATTTTATTGTGGAATTTCGTTGACGAATATTATACGCGTTTTTACTAATTTTTCAAGACTGAAACTGATTTTTGATTGGGCGAATTGATGAAATTTGTTTTTGCATTGTCTTTAAATTGGTGTTTTTATAAGAGAAGTGTCTTATCACCTGATTATTGAGAGTCAGAGCCAAAACCTGTAATTTATAACGGGAAGTGTGCTTAATCACGTGACCTTTTCCGGTCTGATATATTCTTACCTACTCTTTTAATTAACTTTTGGCACATCTAAGTCACTATCATAATATCACTATTACAAATAAATCATTAAATATATAATCTATCAGGTAATATCATCTAATCAGTATATTTATATTGTTACCATTCTAGAATGTCATGGAGTTATATAGAGAAAAGTCTATAATATTATAATAAATTATTTAATTAGAATAATTATAATAATGTATATTAATAATAATGGGTGAAAAAGTATAGATGATATAATCAAATATATAATATTTCAAGTATTATATCATAATTATAACGAGTTTAGAATAATGGTAACAGTATGTTCATGATATGATCTGCTAGAATGAAACCTAGAATTTATATTGTAAGTATTTATTAAGAAATATTATGTAATAAATGTGTAGTTGCATTATAAAATCATAATATAATAATAAATATATTAATAAACAAGTTTATTATTAATTTATTACATGTTTTTAATTGTTATTTATTATTCTTGAGATTCTGAAAATTATGGAATCTATCTTTTTATTAGCTAAAATATATATAATATTTATAAGTAATTGATAAATAAGAAGTAATCATTTAAAATGATCACTTGGAATAATTGTTTGAAATGATCATTTGAAGTAATCACTTAGAATAATCACTTGAAATAATTATTTGGAATGGTTATTTAAAGTAATCACTTGGAATGATTAAAAACTAGAAACAGTAGTAATATATAAAAGAATATAAAAAAGAGAATATATAAAATTCATAATTATAAAAACTTATAAGCAATAAGCAATAAGCAATAAGTAATAAATATATATATATTATAATTATATATTTAATTTTATTAATTATTTGTATATTATATATTTCTAATACAAATATAATAGATTTGTAACTAAACTAATTAAACAATTTGTTTTGCTTTAAAAATTTTCTATTTATAAAATTAGAATAATAAATTTTAAAATTATTTATTATTTATTATTATAATATTATTATCAATTTGTAATCTTTATAAATAGAGATATTTACAAGATAAATGATAATGACTATATTTATATAAAATATATCTTCTAAAAGTATGAATTTTAATATCAAGTAACAAAGTTTTATCTAAGTGTATTCACAAAAAGAATTTAACAAATATAAATAATAATAATTTAATGAGTGATAAATTATTACAAGATTACAAAAACAAAGAAATTAAGTAATTAAAATAATCAGCAATCTGATTCATTAACAAGATCAAAGATAAATTATAAGATATTTGATTTTTTATATTAAATTATATTTATTTAAATATATATTAAAATAATACAAATCTACAAAATTTGTAATAATATAAAGAACCAATAAAATAATAAAATTATAATATGTATAATACCAAGAAATAATAAATATAATACAAATTAATCTAAGTATTATAATTAAAATTATCAAATATTGATATTATATTAAATAAATTAGATGAATTAATAATTAAATTAATAATTATAAATCAAGAACTAATAAAATTATAATAACTAATAATTAATAAAAATGATGTAATAAATAAATAAAGTAATTGATAATTCATAATATTATTAGATATAAATAAAAATAATTAAAAATAAATAAATGAATAAATAAATAAATATTTATAAATAGAAATTGATTAAATATCACTTGGAATCTAATAATATTTTATGTTAGATAATCAAGAAAAATAGTGAATAATGACAATATATAATATTTAAAATTAAAATAAAATTAATAATTTTTAAATACTGATATATTATATAAAATAATATAAAATTGTAATTAAGTCAATTTATTATAATTTAGCAATTTTTTAAAAAAAATTTATTATTTCTAATTTATATTGATTTAAAAATTATTTTTATAATTTATAATTAATAAAACATATCAAATAAAATATATAACTTTTATTAATCAATCAAATTATATCAAGTTATTTTTTTTAATTAATTAAATTATAGTATATTATTTTTAATTTTATTAATTATTGTATAAATTTTTTATTTATTATTAATATAACTTTTTTTAAAAAGTATTGTAAAAATGTAAATTAACTTTTTGATTTAATTTAAAATTTGGATTTCAAAATGGAACAAGTCACATGATTTTAGTTTTTAAGTGTCATGTATTATATTAAATCTGGAATTTTATATTTTAATAACATAGTACTATTTTATAAAATTCAGATAATATGAATTGTATATTTATTTTATACAATTTAATATTTTTAAAAAGCTAAAAATGGTAACAATATAATAAACTTATAAGTATATATAATATAAATACTTATATTTTGCAACTTTATCAAGTCATCAAATTATTTACTAATGAAATTACAATAACAAAATTTGAACCTGATTTCTGCCAAGTTATTGAATTAAGTTTCTATTATAATAAAAATATCTCTTTATAATCATCCAATTTGAAAAAGAGGTGATTATAAAGATATTTGATTACAACATTCTTTAAAAATGACAATTAAATTTTCTATTATATATTATCATATGGTATTTTTTGAGAAGGTTGCTTTGAGTTCTTTATTATTTTTAATAATCTTTGATAATATTAAGCGATATACAATGGTTCTTTTGGATTACAGACTTTTTGTCCGTTAGTTGTTTTGTGAATGCGATAGTGAATTATTGATTAATAAGAATCAGAGAAAATCGTATTGATTAAAGATAAAAGCTGTATTTTCATGTTCTTGATTATGGATATAAATGTTTCGAAACTAACAAGAGAACCCCAAATCTAACACCGATTTCTTTTACTACGACGAACTCCAGAATTTTCGTCAAAAAAAAGAGAACTAGGGTCACCGTTCGACAAAAGGGTCTTTCGTTTAAACATGTTATATTCAACTGGAAGACTAAATTCTTGTGGCGGTGTTTCTCGAGACAACTTTTCGAAATCGGGAACAGGAAACCTGAATTTTTGCAGTTTTACTTCGTTGATTATTTTATTTGGTAGACTGAACTCTTGGGGTGTTTTGTAAAGAGAGTCAAAATCAAGAATCGGGAAATTGAAGACCATTTTTGCAGTGTATAAAATAAAATATCGATATCATCCAATATACCATAATCATGTGTTACTATTTAAGCAATAATTTTCAACGATTATACTGACACTAACGTTGTTTAGAAGTAGTAAGCTACATAAACAGTTGTTTATTTGTCTTTTTTCCGTATCTTATATGCTTCTTCATCAGCCCTATTCTCCGCAACTTTATGACACCGTTCAATCAACATCAACATAGTCTTTGTCAATTCAACCAGATTTAACAGTCCCGGTTCTTCACCAAGTATATCCTCAACTGTCCAGTTTCCCAATTTACCGGCGCCAAGATCCACATTGTCTTTAATCTTTTCGCGTATTACATCGTTGATAACCTGTAAATTAAAGTTGGTTGTCATCATCAAGAACAATCGATTTCTGAATTGTTAAATTATTATTATTATTATTACCTCTATAGTGTAATAGGGTTTTCCACGACCAGTCCCTCCCTGCCATTTCTTATTAATTTGTTGCTTAATGGGGATTTCTTCGGCACGAGTCACTTCCACGATGAAAGGATAGTGTATTTTAAATTTGTTGACCTGTTTGAAAGAAATCGACTTGACTTCCAAGTAATCTTCAATGTTTTCAAATGTGATCATTCTGCTTGCGGGATGAACTGAAGTTTTCTTCATGAAGGTGGAAAATGGTTTAACGTCGTGTCGGATAAATTTACGTGTCTTTAAGCACATTTGGAAATCAAATCTCCTATTTTATATGATTAATGATTTTCTAGTTACAATTAGTGAGAGAAGGCAAACATTATACTTATATAAATTCAAATACATTACCTGTCTAAAATGCTCCAATCAACATCAACAAGATGCTCCCAACACAGCGTAACTTTGCCCAACGCAACATAATCGCAATTGACAAACATAGTGACGGGAATATATTCACTATGTTTATTGTTGCGTGAAATTGCGTTGATTTCAAAGAACGCCGTCTTCGCTGAAGGTCTCATTGATAAATTTTCATAAAGCAATTGTATAAATCGTGGATCTTCCGTTACCCTATAAGATATAAATACTAATACATAAGCATAAAACCTAGAGAGACGAAGGATCTAACTTACGTATCGGTGAATCCTGGGAATACGCCTAATTCCCCAACTAAGATATCTTTGACATCTGTAAATTCCCATAGTTTTGAGTTGATTTGAGGTGTCACTCCCGAGAAGGTCACTTTGCCAATGCTATATCCAGAATATGAATAAATATAAATTCATTGTATTATATAAATTTTCATCATCATAACATACCTTCCATGAAACCGAATTTCTCCTTTATGTGACCGCGCATGGTCAAATCTTTATAAAGACATAGTAAATAAAAAAAAAACGCGCCTCTCCATTCAAACAATACAATCAATGTAATACTTACGCCTCAGTAAATGCTTTTTTCATTTGTTCAAAATTATAGTTGCGCACCCTAAACAAAAAACTAACACAGTTAAACGCTAGTACTAACAACAAATAACCAATCCATGATTTTAATCATCATCACCTTTTTCCAAAGGTAATTGGTTGATAATCAAAAGGGCCACTAGTATCCGGACTCTTTTCCATAACAATTTTTTTAAGTTTAGGTTTTAATTCAGTTTGCTCATTCGACTTCTTTTCTGCCTCATTTTCCACCAGAACTCTTGTATTACTGCCAGGAGGAAAAGTATTTTCGTTGGAATTATTTAATGTTTCTTGAATACGCTCATATTTCATTTTAGCGATTCTTGCTTTTTTTGCTTCTTTACGCGCTTGTTTTTCTTCTTCTGTCTTTAGCGCTCGATTAATGAATTCGTCGTTGAAATCACTTGGTTTTGGTGATTGTCGTGTTTCTTCGAAACCTTGGGATTGTGAAGGATTTGGATGTTTGAAATCATCATTTACAGAATTTTGCTGAGTACTTGGTGCTGCTCCTGGTCTTTCCAGAGACTGTCCCCTGTAAGAAATAGGTCGTTGAGTATTATTATGTGGAACTGAATTTTTAGCCAAGAGATCTGGGGAGTCAGAGCTTGAAAATTCAGATGTTGAACTGGCCAAAGTTTTTATTTGTGTTTGCTGTTCAGCTGGCCAATTTGTCTCTTGTCCCTTGTTAATTGCATTCTTTATTCATTTTGTGGTTTGTTAATAATAATATTAGAAAAATAGATATAATTCAAATTATTTTATCTACCTTCATATTAGACTGCGCGGATAACTTCAGAATTGCCGGAGCTTTATTCTGAGGAGGAAGCAGTCCAATATCAAGCTCATTCGGCAATAAATTATATTCACCTTCCGCATTCTGTCGTACCGCCACCAGAATATGTGGATCAATTAATTTGACCGCGCTAAATTTGTCTTTAAAATACGCGTGTTTTTTTAGCGGATAGAAGAGTAACTTGAAAACCATGTTTTGGTTTGGGTAGTGAATGAGTGGAATTTTTTGTGTTTTGAATGGAGGACGTAACTATTTAATATATTAGAGATTATGAAAAAGGTCATCAGTGTTAGAATTAAAAGTGAATGAAGTAGAATAAAGAGATATATTGTATTATTTACGCACATAAATCATCTGAAGGGTACGAAGCCGGTTCATGGCCTCTTCAATGTCACTAATTTTCGATCCGTTAACCATAATTCTCTATAATAACAAACCGAATAATTATAGTTAAGCAATGACGACTCGATACGCAAAAAAATAAAAAAATTGAAGTTCAAAATTACCCTGCGATCAATAATAACATCCCCCTCCACCCCACAATCCTTACATATGTCCTTCCAATAATTCGAATTCTGATTTGCCACATTCTTCGTCCCCAACAAATCTTCTATATCCTCAATGCGATTATCGATGAGAAACGGTTTCTCTAGTCCTTCAGTATCTTCCTCGGGTTGATGTTTCTCGAATTCGTCGTCATTGAGTGGACGGAGGTTCGTGGATGGAAATTTTTCGGTGGCGTCGATTTGCTTTCGACGTGGTGGAATCACGGAAATTTGGTTTGCGGATGATGACTAGAGATTTTTTGTAAGATTTAGATTTACACAATAAAATTCATCATTTTTGATTTTGGTGATGAATGTCCAAGTCTTTATTACTTTGTTGAGCAGTATCCTTTGTATTTCCTTGCGTCTAAACAAGTAATGAAGAAAACTCTAATTAAAAAATCAATATCTGCCTTTAAAAAAAAAACGCAATCTTTTTTCTTAAATTTCTTACGCATCATGAAGCTGTTTCAAAACAATTCCTCTCAATTCAAAGGTCTACATACGATCATTTTAATTGATCCAAATAAGAAAAAATAGTCGCATCATTACCATCGCGTTATTTTGTCAAAACCAATTTCAATTACCTCGAATAGAATAAAATTACCTGCTTTTCCAACGAAAACGTGATTTTCACGTTATATTTTTCCTGGATCTCTCTAAAAAATTGATTGATTTATCAATATTTATAATTGCATACGTGTATATCTTAAAAATTACTAAATCCCGAAGAACACCAATCACAGCCACCACAAACAAACCAAACCTGAAGGACTCCATAAACTCAAAAATCAAATCTTCACTCCATTCCCAAATAGTATGCAAGGTAAACACAGCCTCTTCAGTGGCATAAGAGCCTGTGGTGGTAATAGTAGTAGTTGTAGTATCAGTAGTGGTGGACATGATAGAGGAGCGACGCGAATTGTGATTGAGAGGCTGTTCAAGTTCCTCCATGATTATTGAATTAATATTATTTATTGACTTTTAAAACACGACTTAAATTAGATTTGATTGCCAAAAATATTTTGACTTTCTTATAGTGTATTTGCATGATAATCAATGACGCCAATCACGAGATTCAAGATTATTTATTGTAATAATAGGAAATTAATATACATAATTAAACCTAGATATAGGATATAGTCAAAAAAAATATCGATTAACTAGTGTTGGATGAATGACCGACCAATATTGTGCACACACCAACAGTGAGATAACAGGAAATTTAATCTAAATGCCGTGAAACTTCACCTAATAAAGAAAAAGGTAATACTTTTTCTTACTATTACCGAAAACAACTCTAATTGTAAAGAAGAAATCGAGAAAAAAAACAAACCAGTAATCTGCACGATCCTTTCCTCTTTTGTTTTCTCAGATGCTTTCTTAACGACGTTCTGTACTTCAAGAACTTTAGCAGCGTCTTTTGCTGCTCCGTTGGAGATTATCTTTTTCGAAAAATTCACACAGTACGAATATGAATCATTAGAGAATTTGTAGCGGACTTGAAAAAATCTAATAAAACATACCAAGGTTCCTATAGTAACTATCGCCCTATATATCACTTCAGGATCTGTTTCATATTCGAGAAACTTTTATTACGTGAAAAAAACCAGAATTGAATCGAGTAGAATAACAATAAAAAATGGACAGATATAGTTAAACAAAAAAAATTTGCAAATACTTCAACAATAGTTGCCATCAACTGCAAAAGAAAGTCTTCGTCGGGAGATCTCTGATACAATACAGCGTAACTAATAACATATAATCATAAGAATATAGAATACAATTAAAATTAAAATTAAAATTTTCTATCTGTAACTTCAAATCTATATGTTTTCATATAATGATGCTCACTTGAGAAAAACTGTCACAAGAACAATTCGTGTATTCTTATTTTGAGCCTTGCTCCACGTTGACGAAATTAATTCCAACACCTTGTCATTAATTGAATCGATTTGAATTAATCAATTAATTTTAATCTTTTAATCAAAAATGTTTTCTACTTACTGTCGAACTAGCCTCCCTCAAGAGATGTAATCCTTCTTTCACCTCGAACAGATTTGCTATTGATCTCAAAGCCAACATTAAATTTGTCTCATATTCTTTCGTGGGCACAAAGTCCGTTGATGACCAAACGTTTAATTGTCCAGCATCTGCTATTAGATTAATGACGGATCCGTTGTTGTGCTTGTAAAGTGCCGCAATAGGTGAGTATAGTATCACCAATCGTAATAAATCGAGACCTGTTGATTGCGTTGATGTGAGTTTTCTTTATTTCTTATTTAGTACAAAAACAACCTTATTTTTATTAAATCAAGTAGATACCTGGAAATCTTTTCTCAAATGGCCAACTAGTACAAATTTTATGTATCACCGCGAATTCATTCTGTCTCGCTTCAGACGAGTCTGTTCCTACAGAAGGATTTTCCAAGAACTTGATTAAGTTTCCAAGTGTTGAGTTTTCGGCGGATGTTAATGCCAAACTATTTGTTGATGGATTTGCTTGTAGTTCGCTATTGATTTGTCCAATTTTCTTGTATATAGTTTGGACATTTGCTTGTTTAAAGGAAAGATATGACTTCTATTTTTGACCACCACATTCAAAATAAAACAAAATCAAAACATCAAAAAACAAATCGATATTCAATTTAATCATCAAAAAATTATCATACTTGAGGAAGAACATTAACAGGACTTGGTTTCGAGGAAGCTGCAGCATTTGGAGAGGATGCTACAACATTTGGAGAGGTTGCAGCACTTGAAGAGGTGCTAGGCCCTGGACGTGTCCACGGATCAATACCGGTTATAGTATCACTCTTTTGTGTGCGTAAATAAGTTTTAATTAAAATTGGGTTGTGTTTATAGAAATAGAATTATTGAAGCTTACAGAGCGTGATCCTGATGGCGCAGCACCTGGAGTATATCTCGAGCCCCCTTAAAAACATTGCACATTTGAATTAAATTATAACATGAAGCACCTGGCATTATACACATTATGCGCACACCTGTAAACGGATCTTGATACTGTGAAGAAACGGCACCTAGCGTAACACCTTTAGCATTTTGAATGATGAAATTTGCTATTTGGTCTAAATAACTTTGTGGTAATTGATTCGCCCATATAAATGCTTGGGCCGCTTGATACGGGTTATCTTTTAATGATAATAATATAAAATGTACATATTAATAAATCAAGATTATTTTGTTATTACAGGACCAAAAAAGAAAAATTACCCGTCACATTATACGGTAACTTAAGAGGCGGTACTCCCTCCCCTAGATCCACATCAAACAGATAATCGTATTCTATTCCGTTATACAATTGCTTTCGATTTTGCCCGACTGCATCTACGACTTCACCCATTTTTGACCATGCCTTGTCTGTATCATTCCACTAAATTATAGTAATGCAACAATTAAAATTATTACTCAATTTTCTCCTATTATCTGAATAATTTGTAAAATTACCATGTGTGCCTCAATTACATCTCCAACGCGTACCATCAAAACCTGGCCTTCTTTGTTTCCTAGATAAAAATATCATTATTTATCAGATAATTTATGAACAGAAAATACTTTATGAACAGAAACTGTTATTATATAAACCAAAAAAGAAATGTAAATGTATATATCTACCAGGTTCTGATAAAGCCTCAGGTCCAGGCAGCTCATCCTTCTTTATATCGCCTACCTGGTTTCTATGAATCATATATATATTTTATCAATTTTAAAAACCATCTAAAACTACAAAAAAATTAAATAGACTGTAATATTAAGAATACTCACGCTGGAATTGCTTGTTTTGCAACCTCCCCTTCAAATTCCTTTTTTTTTAAAAAAAAATATTAATATCACACATTATTATTACAGAGATTTTTATATAAAACAAATTTAATAGCGTGTCAAACAAATATACCTTCAATGCACTTGGTTCGGCAGTCCGTTCTTCGGCACGTGTAAATATGCGAATTTGGCAATCGCTAGCTCCACTTATAATATCACCGTTAGGAAGTCCTGCAACGCACCAAACTGACGTTGCTGGATGTAATATAGTTTGTATACATTTACCATCTATTTAAAACATATAACGTTATTAAGATATAAGTAATAAAAGAATGTGAAATGACCAAAGAAAAAAGCCAAAAATTACCTTTCCAGACTTTAACAGATCTATCTTCACCCGATGACACAATCTCGCCGGTTGATAGCACAGAAACAGAATAAATAAACGAAGTATGTCCGTTCAATTCTTGAATGCAATCTCCCGACAAAGTCCATATTTTTACAGTACTAGAAATATTATAAATAACTATAATTTAGCTGATTTTGTGAATTCCAAAAAGCAAAAAAATAGCTAAATATCCAATGTGAGTAAGATATTTTTGATGACAGACCTACCTATCATTACCACAAGATACGAATCCTAGATCGGGAAGTACGGACAACCCTCTGACACAATCAGTGTGTCCACTAAAAACGTGCGTTCTTTTACCATTCTCCCATTTCATTATTAATTTGTCGGCAGATCCTAAAAAATACAACAAAATTAATATAATAATTTGATTCGAAAAAAAGAATTCTTTATCAACGGAATATATACCTGTAATAATTATGTCATCTTGGATAGCCAAGACAGCCCATACAGCTGCCGTGTGTCCTTGCAATGTGTATGAAACCTGCCAGTTTACCCATAATTTAACTGTCCTGATGTATAGTATGATTATGAAAGATAGTTAGGATCAAAGAGATTATATAAGTCCTTATTGAATTATATTGAATCGTACTTACTTATCCCAAGATCCACTTACTAAATAACCGGAAGGTGAAACGTCCAGCGCGCAAATATTCTCCGTATGACTGATAAGCGAATAAATCGGATCTTGAGGGTGTTCGGGATCCCAGATATTTATGGTTTTATCGCTGCTTCCGCTAGCAATAAGACCTACAATTTGATTTAATTCAGATAAAATACGGTAAAATCAAAACAAAATTTTCAAGAAAAAACCCCTTAATTCATTACAATGCAACCTCGAGAACCAATAAAACCCGCGCATACCAACCATTGGGGTGTTCCGGGGTAGCTGGAAACACGGCAACACTAGTCACAAAATGAGTGTGCCCGAAAAAAACTTTATCCTCGGTGAACACGTTTGTAGTTGCTAACCTTGACCATAGCCGCACAGTTTTGTCTCGAGATACTGAAGCGACAGCAGAATCAGAAACCGCACGAATTCCACGTACCTATAATCATTTAAATAGAATATATTGTTACTGGCTCGACGAGTAAAAGAACTAAACAGGTTCTTACGTACGTCTTGTTCATGTCCTATTAGAGTGGCAGAAAGTTTAAACTGTGCCATTGCGCATTGTATCAAAACTTCAACAGTAGAGAAAACGCTAACTTTTTTATATCATTATTGATTTACTGTAGCCAATCAAATAATAAATCACGTACAATTTTCTTTTTCATGACGTGTACGTACACGTAAAAAATAATAAATATATAATACATTCAACTAGCTACACACGTATACCCCATTTTAAACATTAAATATTTCACGTAGATTGTGAAGAAGATGACGATGATGAAGAAGATTGTCCATTTATAGTAAATGCAGGAGGTGCCTTTCCCTCACGCTTCGCCTTCTCCAATAACTCTAATTGAATTCGATCTTTTGCGTTCTCGATTTTTCGTTGTATGTAAAACGACCCACTTCTCGATGGATCATTCATTTTATGTAAGTGTTCAAATCGCTATTAAAATTATTGTCATTTTAGCCATTAACATTTTCAAAAAAAGAATAAATAAAAAATTATCAAAAATTACCCTTGCAACCATAACGATATCTTCGATATTCTCTTTTTTGACATTTAATATTTGACATGCTTCCTCGATACTTATTTTCGTTTTCTGTGTCAATAAGTCACTCGCACCGTTTGACGCACCAGCTGCCGCCGAAGCGACGCGACCTCTGCTTTGTGCAGCCGCTTGATCTTTATTTATTGTGGATAAATAGTTTAATGAATGTTGGCTATTTTGTATTTAGATAATTTTGGAGAGTAAAAAACTCCAAAATGTAAAAATAAATAAATTACTTGCTATATGTTGTTTATATGCCTCCGCTAAAGATCTAATCAGTATTGGTCCCAGTGCTGTTATGATTCGTGTTAACGTTTTTATCGGCTTCATTTTAACAAGTTAGACATAAATTTAGTATAACAGAAAGCGAAGTTATGTTGAAGTTACATATTAAATAAAAAAAAACCTACCATTTGTGAGTTCATAATTCGTTTTTTTTTAATATCATACTTTTCGGAGACGGAATTATATATGTATATATATATAATCTTTTAACGATAACCAATTCTGCACAGGAATGTGTGCAGCAAAGATTCCATCTCGTGATGATCACTATACAAATAATCAACTCTCGCAAAAAAAATAGAATCATTTACAATGTCAAAAAAATTACAAGTTCGCAGAGTCGCAATTCCGAAAATAATAAAAACTTGAAGAAATTGCGCTAGCGAAACTTTAGATTAATATTTTTTTGTGTGGTGATTGTAAAATTTCTTTACGAATTATTTTTTGTGTATTTGGAAACGAGTCGCCACATATATTTATTTCCAATTTCAATCGATTAGGACTACTATTAATTAAAAATATTTGCTTATAATTAAATACAAAAATCTATAGAATATAAAATTAATCCAACCAAATCTAACTTCTTTTCCCAAAAAAGAAGATAAAATAAATAAATTATGTTCGGAAAACAGCAGGCATAGTAAACAGAGACCCGACAAGTGAATCAACACCATCAGGCTTCAGCGATCGTAAGACTGTTTCCATTCCACGTTTTCTGGAACGTTCTGAAGGACTTAACGATATCACTGATTGGTCTTTTAACATTCTAGATTTAAAAATTTACAGTTGAAGTTTTTTTTTAATTGAACTTGAATCTTTAAACATAAGAAAAAGATGGATCTTACTTCTCGATAAGGTTCACAACATCCGCAGGTTTTATACGTGAATACTTTTTGTTACGCGTGGATGACGTCAAATATTCCTCCATATTTTCACACTGTAGTAAATTGACAATCTATTGAATTTTTTTCAAAATAAAAGTTATTTAAAATTAAATTTAGAAAAGAACGAAATACAAAACAAAATAAAATAAATCACCTGTCTCAATTCCATAAATGCATCCGCTATATTAGGATTATCAAGTCCTTGAGCAAATTGCTCCAAAAATCGGACATCCGTATCGAAGTTAGTAATTCCATTCACATTTAGCTTTTTTACCTCGGGACTAAGAATCAAGTCCTATTATATATTTATACCAAAAAAAAATGATTAGATATTTCCATTCAAATGGTGTATGATCATCCGGAAAAGACTTGCATGAAGTGAAGTCGACAAATGGGCAAGCGCATCGAAATAAATAAAAGTTTTGATGGACACTGGTAGATTGTACAGCGTTGAACTAATGACGGTCGTCAAAAAGCCAACCATATCTAATAAATAGAATTACGTTTAGAAAAGTTTTTGTTTTAATTGGAAATTTTCATTGATACAAGAAAATCGAGTTTTTTATTATTTACCTTGTAGAAAAGAACTTGGTTGAGATTGAGCGACGCTTGGTGCCCTTCAAATATCGAAGAATCTATTTGTCAATATTTAACCAGAAACATAACATAACATAACATAACCTATAATGAGAATAATACCAATCATAATCTGCTAACTCCAAGAAATCATCAATTTTCGAATTGACCAACTCAAAAATTCTTTTTTCTGCCTTTGTACGCGTTTGATGAAATTCATTTGACGCGTTTAATTGTATCCTACCGCCACGATGTATCGACCTAAAATAACATTTATTTTTTTTTAATTTATTAATTAATCAATACATAATTTAAATTAATCGATTAAATGAATGAATGAATGCAAGGTTGATTGATTGGTTGATTGATTGAAAGAATTGATGAACCAACCTCCGATCTTTCAATAATTTTTCCAATTCCGCACACATATTTTCAAAGTATTCCAAATTAATGATAATCTGAACTATTTGTGTAAGATTTGTGCTTTGCAGTTTACCTAATAGAACACCGTTAACATGTTCTATCAGTAAAGCATCCAAAGCCTATAACCAGAAAAGAATAAATTATAAAGTTAGTATTAGCTACCATTAAAAAGATTTGAATAAAAATATATACAAACCTCTTTTAAAATGTCATCAAGATAATTGTGTTTTCGAGAAGCGTCCTCAGCGAAATCGTAAAATTGATCGACAAAATTTTTTATGTCAAGACAACAGGATGGATAAGCTTGAGAAAACGGCAAAGTTCTCGGGAAACTATAATAAACAATCACAAGTTAACAATTAAAACGTATACCGATAAATTGTATAAGCCAAGTTTAAATGTTCAATAATAATAACATAACATACCGAATCGCGTTAACACGTTGATCATCTTTAAACCAACAAGCGTCCACAACAGCTTCATATTCTTCGGGTGCATTTACAATCATAGGCATATAATCATCGTCCAATATAGTCTATCACATGAAAAAGTATTATCATAATATTGATCAAGATAAAGTAAATTAAATAAGATATAAAATAATACTTGTTGAAAATCTTCAGCAAATTTCTTTTTCAACATTTCCGAATACCGTTGGTACACATTAAAATGTAAGTCCGTGTACATATAAATATTATAAGAATATTCCTATAAAATATAATTTATTAAAATTGCTAATATAATTAATATATAATAAATAAATTAATAAATGTAAAGTTACCTCAAATGTTTGAATATAACTGGTCAGATAATGTTTAATCTTTACAAACAATTCCGGATTATGACATTCACGTAACGCATTCGACACCATTTTTATCACTTTTGTGGTAACACTATCCCAGAGAATGTCTACTTCGCGTTGTGACCGAAAATTGTGTGTCGATTGTACGATAATGTGCTCGATCACGAAAAATCCGGCAATCTCATCGAGAAACGATTCGAATCCTCGAATTTCGCCGTCTTTTAACGTGAAGGTTGCTGATAGGACTAAGTTTGCTTGCGCCTGCACAATAGATGTGAAAAAATTTATGCCACTTTAATGAAGTAAATATATGAAGTTGTTAAATTATGGAGTACCCTTCTATCTTCTTCGTAATTTGCTTTAAATTCATTTCTTTTGCCAAGTTCTTCATAGATGTGAAGACACTGATAAAGTGGTTTGAAATCAATTTGTACTTGATCATTATTTACAACATTAACTATAAATTAATTAATTGAATATTTTAATAAACCAAAATTAAAGTAAATTAAATGAAATGAAATATTAATAATTAATTTAAAACTTACATTCATTTTCTTCGTTCATTGCCAATTCAATAGGAGAATTAACAGGAGCAGACGCTAAACCTTTATTCTTTACTACTTTTTGCTTCCATCGCTCTTGTCGTAAGTTTAATTGTTCAATGGCTAGTTTTCCAACTTTTGAAGATACTTCTCTTACTCTAAGAAAAAAATGGATACTATTTAACATCATTTTCCACCTCCGTTTCCTCCTTATTTTACATACTTGAATAACCATTCTTTCATTTCTCTCGTTACTGCATCTTTTATATTGTTTTGCATAACTGGTATCGATTCCTCTAAATGATTTAATTTTTCATTATGTTAATAAATGATTATCAAAATGAAACAAAAACCACGTTATTGAAAAAACACATACGCATATGTCGTGCAAATTCATACTGGCTCACTTTACGTAAATGTACGGTTTGCAATTCCTCAATTGTCTAAATTCAATATGTATACATACGTAAAAGAAATAATTCAATAAATAAAAAATAACCAAATTTAATAAAATTACAAACAACTGAAATAATTACTAAGAAAAATATAAACCCGCAAAGCCGAATAATATTTCTTTTCCTCAATCAGATTGTTGACACGATTAGCAAGATCCAGTACGTATAGACATGTTTGTAATGTCTCCACGGCTTCATCGAT